GAGCGAGCTCAAACTGAGTGAAACTCAAGGTCGAGCCGTAGAAAGTGGCTCATCCTCAGCTTGTATCGATCTCGAGCCGATCTCGAGCTATTTTCGAGCCAAAAAATAATATGATTTTATGAATAATCTAAGGCAATTTTTTAAACAATATAGCCAACAATACAACGTAGAAAGCCACTATAAAATTTGACTTATTCGCTCTCAACTGGCGACTAGCACTTGATAAATAGGGACCAATGAAGTAGAAAGATAGAAAAATAGTACATGTGCTCTTAAACTTTGGCTGAGAATAATAGGATATTTGACACAGGACTGACCACGCACTATGTTGAGGCTAAATTTCTCGTGCTTAATTAGGCCTGCATGTTTCCTACTAGGTAAAATTGAGAAAAGTTGTACACGGCATATATGAAAATAAATTATCTTTTTTAGTAAATATAAAGATTATTTAATATAATTATAAAACATCGAGCTACCGAGCCAAAATCGAGCGAGCTAGTGTTGGCTCAAGATTAACTCGTTTCTCTATCGAGCTACATAAAGTGTTCATACTCAGCTCATTTTTTTTTGAGCCGATCTTGAGTCGAGTCAAAAGACGAGTTGATCTCAAACGGCTCACGAGCCTCGAGCTTTTCTTGCAGCCCTACTGCCAGCATATCCAACACTGGTGGTGTTCCCTAGAGTCACACGCGGCTGATCATATAGAGAATGTATGGCGTGTGGGAATTTCACACTTGGCTGATGATACAGAGAACTTACAATGTGTGGAAGCGTCACATGCTGCTAGTTTATTAGTATGTTGGTAGCTTGCAGGATACCACACATGCTACTAATATGTTGTGCCGGCCAAATAACAATACTGCCACGGCAGCGTTTTTTGCTACAGTGGCAGTGTTGCACATTTGATACATATATGAATATAGGAAGTATTATGCGCAGATTTGATACATATTTTTTTTTTGGAAATGGAGTCATACCCCCGGCCTCTGCATCATGATGATGCATACGGTCCTCTTATTAAAAATCCAAAAAGTATCATCATAAAGGTCTTACAGCTCGTAAACGGAGCAAAACAAAGTAAATAAAACGGAAAATTACAAGCGGACAAAGACAGCCGATACGGTAATAATAAGGATAAGCTCTCTAGACTCCTATCCTGTTATGCGTACGCCATCCGAACCGGTTGAATATAACCCGAGCCACCATCTCCCATTGCTTGCACCCAGTAACAATAGACTCCCTGGAGTCCATAGGCTCCCTGCAGATTTGATACATATATGAATATAAGAAGTATTATGCATTAAATAATGAATGTTATTATGTAACACATTTTAGATGAATCCAAATTTCAAAACATGCATATACACGTATACATAACACATTGATGTCGTTGAATTACAAGCATGCATTTCACATGCCAAATTTGTAAAAGCATGCATTTGACAAGGCCGGCTCGGTCGATGGCTCCAATATGTTGAAGTTGCGGTGGACTATGAAAAGAACAAATTCGAGCATAGGTACCAAACATAACACAGGAAGATTGCCACATAGCAAACGATAGCATGATTTATGAACCAAAGGGCTCGCTTTTCTGTGTGTGTGTATATAGGACTCCTCTTTCATACTCCTGGGTGTGCATCTGTCTTAGAGAGTTGCTGGTTATTGGATGTACTTTCGCTACTTATCAGTACTTGCATGCATTAACAACCTCCCAAATATTAGCAATCCAGTGCACATCACTCTTGCCGAACATTTTTCGTTTGGCTAACAGTGTGGTTTAGGAGGACATATCCCAACCCACTAGGGTTCAAACCCTAGACAGACATTGGTGTTCGCATTATTCCTGGATTTATTTTAGGCTTCTGGTGTGACATCGTAAAATATCAAGATGTTATGCCGGCTCCCGGAGGTGCTCATAGGCAGGGGCGTAGCCAGGCCCCAGGCTACTGAGGCCATGGCTGCTCTATCGTTCGTTGAAAACACTATTTGGACATTGTTCAGTACTGTACATAGGCTGTTGGCCCGGGGCGTGTTTCCAGGCTAGCTACGCAACTGCTCATAGGAGTAGGGTGTGCATGTATGCGTTCATAGTGAGTGTATGTTCGTGTATGTGAGTGACTTCGATTGTACTAGGTTCAAAAAAGATTTTCGTTTTCATGCGTGCACTATTTTTAATATGTGTGCACATACTTATACTTTGTTTTATACTCCCTCCGTAAACTAATATAAGAGTGTTTAGATCACTACTTTAGTAATCTAAACGCTCTTATATTAGTTTACAGAGGGAGTACAAGGTAAAGATTTTCTAGCGCAGACTGGTGCGCGAATCACTGGACTGAATTTCAAAGGACGTATTCATTAAGAATATTCTCGTATTTAAGACTATGTACCAACGGACATCCATCGTAAAATATGCAAGGCATCTGCTACTATCTTCGTCCCATAATATAAGAGCGTTTTTGACGGCCATTTGGATTCATGGGCTAGGATGGGCCGAATTCTTGTGAGATTCATAGTTTGTAGCCGAAAAGAAACAATGGACTTTTGCATTAAAAAAAAAGGAACTTCGTTTTTTACTTCCATCCGAATGCAATTTAAGTGGTTCGCTCTCGACATAAACCACCCATGGTTTACTTTGTAATAAAACCTTTATATTGAGAACAAAACCTTTATAGCTTTAACAGAAATACTACTATCACTGCAATGCAAACTGTCCAACTCATAATAAAAGCCACAGCAAAATTTTGGTTACAATCTGCCTAAACAACCTAGTACAATCATAGCTTGCACTCGAATCAGCAAGATAAGATCGGTAGTTTCACACCATGACCATATATCAATTACGTATATTCTGGAGACTCTTAATCGTCACTGCTTATTACTGCAGACGCCGTTGGACGGGAGCGCGTCGAGCTGGTTCATGACCGTGTCGATGTCGAGGACGAGGCGCTCGGCGAGGGTGCGGCTGAACTCCTCCCGGATGACGACGCGGAGCACCGTGACATGTTGCGCGTCGGCAGGCATGGTGTACGCCGGCACGATCCAGCCGAACCGGCGCAGCATGTCGGAGACCTCGAACTCGTCGTGGCGGCTGTGGTCCTTGAGGGAGAAGGCCACCAGCGGCACGCCTTGGTCCTTGGACACGATCTTGAAGCGGCCCGTCCTCTCCAGGCCCTCCTTGATCACCATGGCATTCTCCTGGCAGTTCTCCATGATTTATGAACCAAAGGGCTCGCTTTTCTGCCATGGAAGCATGTGTGTGTATATATAGGACTCCTCTTTCATACTCCTGGGTGTGCATCTGTCTTTTTTTCTTTTTGCGGAAAAACTTCCAATCTATTCATCTTCAATCATGGCAGTACAATGAATACTAGAAATAGAAATTACATACAGATTTATAGACCACCTAGCGACGACTACAAGCACCGAAGCGAGCCGAAGGCGCGCCGCCGTCATCGCCCCTCCATCGCCGGAGCCGGGCACAACTTGTTGTAGTAGATAGTCGGGAAGTCGTCGTGCTAAGGCCCCATAGGACCAGCACCCCAGAACAGCAACCGCCGTCTGTCTTAGAGAGTTGCTAGTTATTGGATGTACTTTCGTTACTTATCAGTACTTGCATGCATTAACAACCTCCCAAATATTAGGAATCCAGTGCACATCACTCTTCCCGAACATTTTTCGTTTGGCTAACGGTGTGGTTTAGGAGGACATATCCCAACAAATCCTAGACATGCATTGGTATTGTCATTATTTCTGAATTTATTTTAGGCTTCCGGTGTGACCTCCTAAAATACCAACATGTTATGCCAGCTCCCGGAGGTGCTCATAGGCAGGGGCGTAGCCAGGCCCCAGGCTACTGGGGCCATGGCCTGGGGCGTGGCTGCTCTATTGTTCGTTGACTGTAGCTAGAAAACACTATTTGGACATTGTTCAATACTGTGCATAGGCTGTTGGCCCGGAGCGTGTTCCCAGGCTAGCTACGAACTGCTCATAGAAGTAGGGTGTGCATGTATACGTTTATAGGGTTGAATGTATGCTTGTGTATGTGAGTGACTTCGATTGTACTAGATTCAGAAAAGATTTTCATTTTCATGTGTGCACTCACTATTTTTAATATGTGTGCACATACTTATACTTATTCTCGTTTATATCGAGAGCGAACCACTTAAATTGCATTCGGATGAAAGTAAAAAACGAAGTTCCTTTTCTTTTTCTGCAAAAGTCTGTTGTTTCTTTTCGGCTACGAACTATGAATCTTACAAGAATTCGGCCCATCCTAGCCCATGAATCCAAATGGCCGTCAAAAACACTCTTATATTGTGGGACGGAGGTAGTAGCAGATGTCTTGCATATTATACGATGGATGTCTGTTGGTATCGTAGTCTTAAATACTCTTGGAACGGGAGTTTTTAATAGTCTTAAATACGAGAATATTCTTAATGAATACGTCCTCTGAAATTCAGTCCAGTGATTCGTGCACGAGTCTGCGCTAGAAAATCTTTATACCTTGTATAACTTTATAGCTTTAACAGAAATACTACTATCACTGCAATGCAAACTGTCCAAGTCATAAAAGCCACAGCAAAATTTTGGTTACAATCATAGCTATTACTCGAATCAGCAAGATAAGACCGGTAGTTTCACACGATGACCATCATTTGGATTCTGGAGACTCTTAATCGTCACTGCTTATTACTACTAGCAGACGCCGTTGGACGGGAGTGCGTCGAGCTGGTTCATGACCGTGTCGATGTCGAGGACGAGTCGCTCGGCGAGGGTGCGGCTGAACTCCTCCCGGATGACGACGCGGAGCACCGTGACGTGCTGCGCGTCGGCCGGCATGGTGTACGCCGGCACGATCCAGCCGAAGCGGCGCAGCATGTCGGAGACCTGGAACTCGTCGTGGCGGGTGTGGTCCTTGAGGGAGAAGGCCACCAGCGGCACGCCTTGGTCCTTGGACACGATGTTGAAGCGGCCCGTCCTCTCCAGGCCCTCCTTGATCACCATGGCATTCTCCTGGCAGTTCTCCATGATCTTCTTGTACCCCTGCATCCATCGTGTAATTAAAATGACAAATCTCCTCCCGATCGTTCGATGGATGTTTGAACTGCGACTCATGACATGAGCCAGGTATAGGAGCATTGCTACACAGACGGCGATTGCTAGCCGATACATGCACGACATGACTCCTCGCACCATCCATTGGCAATTCTGAACAGCCGTACGCCCTTGGATTAGTCATCGTGCAGGTATCGTTCAGCCAAATATCGTCTGTGAAGTAATTTCGTATAGTTACCTCGAAGCCGTGGCGGATGAGCTGGTAGTACTGCGCGATGACCTGGCTGGAGCCCTTGGAGAAGTTGAGCGTGAAGGTGGGCTGGTCGGTGCCGAGGTAGTTGATGTGGAAGACGAGGTCGTCCGGCAGGTCGTCCTTGCCGCGCCAGACGCACCAGCCGATGCCCGATGCCGGGGTAGACGAGGCCGTACTTGTGGCCGCTGACGTTGATGCTCTTCACCCACGGCAGCCGGAAGTCCCACTCCAGCTCCGGGTACAGGAACGGCGCGATGAACCCGCCGCTCGCCGCGTCCACGTGGATCGCCGTCTCCCACCCGGTCTCCTTGTTCTTCTCTTCGAGCAGGTCGTTGATGCGCTTCACGTCCTCGAACTCGCCGTTGAGCGTGGAGCCAAGGATCGCCGCCACGCAGATGGTGTTCTCGTCCACCATCGCCACCGCCTGCTCCGGGTCCATCACGTAGTACCCCTCCCGCAGCTTCACCTCCTTGAGCTCCACCTCGAAGTACCTGGCGAACTTCTCCCAGCAGACCTACGTACAAGAGCATCGCAACGTAAATTTCAACTTGCACCTCAAAGGAGATGAATTCGTGAGCTAGGAGTTACTTGGACGTTGGCGCCTGTGACGATGTTGGGCTTGTCGAACGGCTTGCCCTCGGCCTTGCGCCTGTTCTGCCACTTCCTCTTGAAGGCCAGCCCCGCCAGCATGATGGCCTCCGACGATCCCACCGTGCCCACGCCCACGGCCGTCTCCGACTCGCCCAGCGGCGCGTGGAAGAGATGCGCGATCATGTTCACGCACCGGTTCTGCAATGCAATTCGATCAATGCCGCACAAGGAATAACAACGTCAGTACAAACTACAACTACATACATCTGTGAGGCTCAGAGACAGGTAAAATCAAAAACGGAATAATACGTGCCTGGAGCTCGGTGGTGACGGGGTACTCGTCCATGTCCACGTAGTTCTTGTTTATGGAGGCCATGATGAGCTTCTCGCACTCGCGCTCCATCCACGTCGTCACGAACGACGCCAGGTTCAGCCGGGGGTTGCCGTCGAGCATCAGCTCGTCGTTGATGATCTGGTACGCCGCCTCCTTGGGGATCGACTTCTCCGGCATACGGTACCTGCAGGCACGCAACGGATCCACCAGCCGGTCCATTAGTAAGAACAGACCACGAGAGCATCGATCGAGCAAGAAGAACAACAGGCACCCATGCACGCGCATATATACCTCGGGAGAGACGACCGAACATAGCGCGAGGCGAACGTGGAGTGCACCGACACGTCGGTGTCTGAGGCGTCCCGGGAGAGCACCATGGCTGCAGCTACCCGATCGAGCAGTCGACCTACTCGCGTTCTTGGCTCTAGCTAAGCTGGCACTTGATGATCGAATCAGCAGGCGCAATATGATGCGACGATTTTGGTGTGTGCTATGGCGGAGGCGACACCCCGGCCGGGTATATATACGCGGACGAGGGACGACGCGTGGTGCAAACATGGAAGTTCTTGGTGCGTTTGCCATTGCCCTCGTAGACGCTTTCAAAAGGAAAGGTCAGAAGAGGAAGGAGAGAGTCAGCCTCAGGCCTGGTCCAGGTAATATTTCGTCTTGTGCTGTCAATAGGCAAGAGCTAGCAGTACGCGGGAAGCCTGCCTTTTATTTGTGGTTAAACATGAACAAAGCTTTTTTTTTTCCTGAGAAAACTTCCAATATATTCATCATCGATCATGATAGCACAACCCAGATTCATAGACCACCTAGCGACGACTACAAGCACTTAAGCAAGCCGAAGGCGTCGCCGTCATCGCCCCTCCCTCTGAGCCGGGCAAAACATGTTGTAATAGACAGTGCGGAAGTCGTCATGCTGAGGCTCTATAGGACTAGCACACCAGAACAGCAACCACCGTCGTTGAAAAGATACTTAGATCGGAAGGATCCAACCTGTAGACACACGAACAAAGATCGGATCCATGTAGATCCACCGAAGACAAATGCCGACCGAATCTACGAGATCGACCGGAGACAAGTCTTCACACGCCCTCAAATGACGCTAGAAGCACCACCCGGACGGGGGCTAGGCGGGAAGAAACTTATTCCATCTTGAAATATCCGTCGCCGCCTCATCTCACTGAGCAGGACACAAACACTAAAAAAGTCAGAAAAACATCTAGAAACGAAGCCCTCCCACCGACAATGGCCGAATCCACCATGCCTCCATGGCCCTAAGGCCACAGGAGACGAGGCAGGCCGGCGTTGGCGCCGGCAGGTGGCAGAAGGAACCCTAGCGGCGGCTGGGTACGAGGGCCTCCTGAACAACAAAGATTTTTTGTATACAACACGAACAAAGCTTGAAACTCGTGTCAAACAACATATATCTTTTTGCGAGAAAAACAACAGATTTTTTTGGCCAAAAAATGTTAAACAATTATTCAACAAAAAACTTATTGTGTTTTCTCGAGGGAACGCCCTTTGGTGCGTCCAATTCCGGATGCCAATCTCAAAACGGTGAGTGTGGCAATCTTGTTCGCTCCAAATGCATCCTCCTGAGAGAATGACACAAACGTTCGCCCTCATACACTCTCCTAAGAAAATGACCCGTATGTAGCATGACACTCCCTTATGATGTAGCATGATAATTACTTGAAGCATGTATGAAAATGTATGTACGTGGCATGATAATTCGCCCTGATGTAGCATGGCAGTTGGTGAACATGTGGGCAACTCACCTTTTCTTAGCCTGGCATTTCTCTTTGCCGCAGCATGACCAATCCTTAAAACGCATGCCAATTTTCGCTGGTGCAACATGGCAAATCCTGAAAGGTATGTGAATTCCAACTGCTATAACATGATAATTATTTCTTCTTATAGCATAATAAATCTCTTTGTTATAACATGATAGTTCCTGCAAACATTCCACGTGAGTGATTTTTAAGGGAATGCTTACTGTTGCAGCTGTTCACTCGAATGAGCCTCCTAGAACGAAATATCATTCGCGCCAGGGACACCAGGGAGGACACATTCTATCCCTGTAAGAATCTTAATTCAATACAACACTTACATGTTTGAGGTATATACTTGTAGTGCCTTTCTGTACACACCAAGCGCGGCCAAGTCAGTATTCTAGGAAACAAAATCATTGGCAATACAAGGTGCACATTGATCAAACATAACAATGGTTCTTCATCTAAATAACCAGCCTATCCGATCCTACTGCTTCCCTTTTATTTTTTATCGACTGTTCTTTTCATTCTCTTAGGTACATATCAGTGTTGGAGCTATATGTGAATGTCGATGCATGGAAGTTTGGTGATGGGGTGGGGTTAGGGGAAAATAAGACTATTTACTTCAATTTAGGTCCCTAAAAAGCCTCAATCATTTCTTCTAGGCTGGGGGCGGTGCACCATCC